GAAACAAAACAAAATAAAATAAAATAAAATAAAATAAAATAAAATAAAATAAAATGAAATAAAATAATTAAAACAAACTAGCACTACCACGGTGGGTGCAGCTACACGAACTGTGGTCCGGCTGCTGTGTGTCTGCGCCCTCTCTGTTCCTCGGCCCTCAGCCGGGTGCACATTCCCTGCCCCCGACCTTGCTCACGTGAACTTTGCGCACAACCTTCTTGCGCGCAGCCTGGACCCCGCCTCCCGCCCGCCCGCCTGGTAGGTGCTGACGACCGACCGCAGTGCTGGGCACCGGGGCCCGTCCTGCCCCAGCGTTCACTTGTCCCAGGAGGACCCAGCTCCCAAGGGCGGGAGGGGGAGAGGGAGAGAGCGGGAGGGACCCCCGCAGCCCGGCCCCGCGGGCCCCCCCCCCCCCCCCGCCTTGGAAGCGCCCTCCCCGTGTCACCCTGCGGTGCTGGGGCCCGGCCTGTGCTGCGGGGACGGACCCGGGACGCACAGACCTGTCTGCACACCAGGCCCCCCCCCCCCCCCCCGGGGGCCCCCGGGCGCCCGGATATTGTTCCTTCCCCAAACCACCGGGGGGGTTCACCGCAGCCAAGCGTGGCCGCGGGCAGCGCGGGGGCTCCGGGACCCACAGAGCGGGCAGGGGGAAGGGGAGCCGGCGGAGGCGGGTGGGGGGGGAAGGGGGCCCGGGGGTGGGGGGTCTGGCCTGACGCTCCCGGAGGCGGGCGGCCGCGGGCACCGGCCCTGCTCGAGCGCGCTTCCCACGTGTGCCCTCCGCCCGCCGTTGTCTGCGCCCTCGTGCCGCCGCCGGAAGGAGGCGCAGGGGAATGGAGCCACGTGCGCACGCGCCAGAGGAACCTGGGACCCACAGCCCCCGCTGAAGTCTCTGCCTCTTGTTAGTGACGACCTGGTGACGTGTTCGCGTGTTCAGCTGCACAAACACGTGGGATGGAAAACCTTTCCGGGTCCAAAACCACAGACCGGTCTGCAGCCTTTGGCTGGCTGTGCGCAGCGACAGAGGTCATGGCGTCGCACGGGGTCTTAAAGGAGCTGAGCCCACCCCCTGTCCACGGTGCGTTAGATGGTGCCCCGCTCCCCGGAAGATACGCCCTAACATCTGGAATCGCAGGACGGGGGCTCGTTTGGAAACAGGGCGTTTGCAGATGTGAGCAAGTGAAGGATCTGAGGTGGGCTCATCCTGCATGAGGGGCGCCCTGAATCCGACGGCAGGTGTCCTTGTAAGAGACAGAAGAGGGACACACACGCAGAGGAGAAGGCCCGTGACGCCGGAGGCAGAGACGGGAGGGACGCGGCCACGAGCCCAGGGGCGCCTGGAGCCCCAGAAGCTGGAAGAGGCAGGAAGGAGCCTCCTCTGGAGCCTCAGGAGGGAGCACAGCCCTGCTTGGATCTCAGCGACCCTGCCCTTCCTGGATCTCAGTGGCCCTGCCCTGCCTGGATCTCAGCGGCCCTGCCCTGCCTGGATCTCAGCAGCCCTGCCTTGCCTGGATCTCAGTGCTCCTGGCCCTCCTGGATCTCAGTGGTCCTACTTGCTTGGATCTCAACAGTCCTTCCCTACCTGAGTCTCAGCGGTCCTGCCTTACCTGGATCTCAGTGGTCCTGCCCCTCAGTGGTCCTGTTCTGCCTGGATCTCAGGGGTCCTGCCCCTTCTGGATCTCAGGGGCCCTGCCCTGCCTGGATCTCAGTGGCCCTGCCCCTCCTCGATCTCAGTGGTCCTACCCCCCTGGATCTCAGCAGCCCTGCCCTGCCTGGATCTCAGTGGTCCTGCCCCTCCTGGGTCGCAGTGGTCCTGCCCTGCCTGGATCTCAGTGGTCCTGCCCTTCCTGGATCTCAGGGGCCCTGCCCTGCCTGGATCTCAGCGGCCCTGCCCTGCCTGGATCTCAGTGGCCCTGCCCTGCCTGGATCTCAGCGGCCCTGTCCCTCTTGGATCTCAGTGGCCCTGCCCTGCCTGGATCCCAGGGGTCCTCCACTGCCTGGATCCCAGGGGTCCTGCCCCGCCTGGATCTCAGTGATTCTGCCCTGCCTGGATCTGACTTCTTGTGTGCAGAGCTGGGGAAGGACAGCTTCTTTGGTTTTAGGCTGATGAGCTTGGGGTCATTTGTCCAGGCGGCCGTAGAAGGTTGAGTAGAGCTCTTGCGTCCCCGGGGAAAGGACAGTGGAGCCTCGTCAGTGCATAACATGCGTCATCAAGGCTGCTGATTATGCAGCATCCTGGTTTCGGGTCAGTTCCACAGCTGGTGGTGTGGGGGAGGGAGGTGAGAGGTGCAGGCTGGTTTAGGGCTGTGTGCACAGCAGGGATAGAAGGACTGAGCACGAGTGCCGCGAGCACCCTGAAGCCTGGTCGTCCCCTTAATAAGGCTAATGGGATTTTCTGCGGTGATCCGCCCGGGCTCCCCCTGGGCCTCCCGCAGGGCAGGGAGCGGCTGGCCGCCCCCAGCGTGCTGACTGACCCACACTCCGCACAGCTGGGACGGCCGGGGGCCCGGGTTGGACGGAGGCCCAAAATGAGCTCCCCGCAGGAACAGGGCTTCCGGCTCCTGACCGAGTACACGAATGGCTTCATGGTGTCCCAGGTAGGAATGGGGTGCGGAGAACATTCCAGCTGCCTGCTTGGCTCCCCGGGGGGGGGGCGGGAGCTGCGCGTGGGCAGCGGGGACTGAGAGCTTGATGGGATGGGAAGGGGGACTTCCTGGGGGGAGGCGGCGAGGTCGCGGAGGTACCGGCGGGTGTCTGGACACAGGCGAGGCCGGCGGGGCGCCTGGGAGCCTTCCCTGAAGGGCGGTGATGAAATAGTTGAGATAGGCTGTGATGGGGTCATAGAGGGCTCCCCGTTAAGACGCTCGGGACGCTGGGGACGCGGCTGGAACACGCGAGTGCGGGGGTCCGTGCACAGCGCAGCGCGCGTCACTCTCATCCCCGCTGGGGGCTGAGCTCGGACGATCCCGTGGGAGATCAGGAGACACAGACACCCCCCCCCCCCTTCGCGGAAATGGTGGCATTTCTGCGAAACATCCAAAGGAGCACATGCGTAGAAACGGGAAACTGGTTGCGCTTTGCCAGGCCCTGGGGCGGGGGCCGGGCAGCGACCGGTCAGAAGGACGGGCTGCCCTTCCCGGGGGTGGGGGAGAATGTTCCGGCCCCGGACAGAGGTGGGTTGCGTGGGATAGGACAGCACCGCGAACGTACCGGTCGCCCCTGAGTCGTTCCATTTAAGACGGGGAGGCCTGAGCCTTGTGCTGCGTGCATTTTCCTTCCGTAGGAGAGTAGAGGCCGGCTACACTTGGGTTTTGTGTTTTCCTGATTTGTTTTTTTGTGTTTGATTTATTTACTGATTTATTTATTTATTTATTTATTTATTATTTACTTTAATGTTTCTTCTTGAGGCAGAGACCGAGAGAGCGCGCGCGCGCAGGTGGGGGAGGGGCAGAGAGAGAGGGAGACACCGAATCCCAAGCAGCTCCGGGCTCCGAGCTGTCAGCACAGAGCCTGATGCAGGGGTTGAACTCGTGAACCGCGAGATCATGACCTGAGCCGAAGTTGGATGCTGAAATGACTGAGCCCCCCAGGCGCCCCTAAAAAAAATTTCTTTTTTTGGCCCCTAAACTTGTTTAATGTTTATTTATTTTTGAGAGAGAGAGAGAGAGAGAGAGAGAATGAGCAGGCGACAGGCAGACAGAGGGAGACACCGAATCCCAAGCAGCTCCAGGCTCCGAGCTGTCAGCACACAGCCCCCTCGCGAGGCGCGAACCCGCGAACCGTGAGATCATGAGCTGAGCCCAAGTGGGCCGCTCAACCGACTGAGCGCCCCAGGGGCCCCTCGGGTGCTGTATTTCCAAGCCCCAGCGGCCTCAAGCCTGTGCCCGGAGGACCTTGGCCGAGGGGAGGGGTCTCTGGCAGGGCGCCCACAGGCTTTGCTGGCAAACCTCTGGGGTCCGGGCGCTGAGCACGTGCGCGTGCAGGGGGGTGTGGGTGCAGAGGCAGGAAAGCCGTCCCCCCATGTGGGCGCCTGTCCTGAGACGACGCGCTTGGCCCAGGGGTTTCGCAGACACATGGCCGAGGATGCAGGGTCGGGGGGGGCGCACGACTGCGCAGGCGTGTGTGCACCCAGTGGGGTCCAAGCCAGGGGTGCCGTGTGCGTGACTTGGAGGGCCCTGCGGCGGGGGTCCTGACGCACGGGGATGTGTTCGTGGCCCTCCCGGGTCACAGACTCGCGGGGATCGTGACGCGGTCGTCGTTCCACGTGCTGCAAGCCTGACGCGCCTGCTGGGCTCGGCTGCAAGTCCCCCCAAGTTGAAGCGGAAGTCCCGTCCCCTGCACCCCGAGCGAGCTCGAGGGCCCCCCGGATTCGGTCTCCGGCCCCCAAGGGTTACGGACGAGCCTCGGAGGTAGTGAAAAGGAGCATCCTGCCGGAAAACAGCCACGATGAGGGGCTGGTTTCCTGGGGCTGGAACGTGTGACTCGTGGTCCTCGTGAAATGCGTCCCGGCCGCCAGGGGTGGCGGGCGCGTCCCAAGTCTGGGGACCGACGTCTGTCCCCCACACGACCCGGTGGAGGGACCCTGAACGCGGCCGGGATGCGATCATACGTAACACGACCTCGAGAGACCTTGACGGAGCGATACTTCCTATGACCCTGAAAGAACAACACTCAACACGACCTCGACCAAATGACGTAGTAAAACCTAAATTAACGCTAGTTCACACAGGCTCAGTACACGATCTAATACAGTCCTAATAGCAGTTAGTGCCGCATTATCAGAATATCAGTCAATACACCTTTCACCAAAGAGGAGCTAATACCGTGTGGATGGAGTAAAGCTGGACGCAGCCAGAGGGAAGCTTAATGGAAGAAGAACTAATCCAAGCCACATAGGATGCGTTCCCACAAACTTCATACAGGGAGAGTTAACACAAACACCTTAGTACAGGGAGTGTTAAGACAACCTTAGTACAGGGAGAGTTAACACAACCTGAGTATAGGGAGAGTTAACACAACACTAGTACAGGGACAGTTAAGGCAACCTTAGTACAGGGAGAGTTAACACAATCTTACTACAGGGAGAGTTAAGACAACCTTAGTACACGGAAAGTTAACACAACCTTAGTATAGGGAGAGTTAACACAATATTAGTACAGGGAGAGTTAACACAACCTTAGTATAGGGAGAGTTAACACAATATTAGTACAGGGAGAGTTAACACAACCTTAGTACAGGGACAGTTAACACAACCTTGGTACAGGGAGAGTTAACACAATATTAGTACACGGACAGTTAAGACAA